CTGATGATGGAGCAGCCGTTGAAGTTATTTAATGGACAAAATCACCGTTGTGCACAGGGTTTCAGCGTGTTGCGAAATGTCATTGGTTGTAAAAGTACGAAACCTCAGTGCCTAAACAGCCCCTACAATCGACTCACCAACTATGGACGCCAAGCATTGCTAAGCAGCAGATGCGGAGGGTGTGGTAGGTTGTCCACGACGAAGGCGGATCCATTAATACTGTCCAGTTGCCATGTTTGTGGTGTAATGTTGTGCTATTTTCCTCTACTTTTTGCCAGTTAATTGCCCCGATAGGTCATATAGTTAGGGTGCAGGTCTTATTTACGCAATGCATTTGGGATCTAACATTTCGACAATCTGAGGTCCTGGGTTGTTTCAGATTTGGAGGGTTGGTTATTTGTAGAGGGAGGTGGATGAATGACAATGCATTGCATCAGCGAAACCCAGTTAACGATTTGACCATCGGAAACGATTCCTCGAGATTCTGCAAAGTGGTTGGTGCAGAAACTACACGTTTTACATACGACATGTGTAAATTTCGTCATGTTCTATAATGTGTGATGCCATACCAACAGAATATGCAATTACCTGGTCTAGACTTTCCCCAATTTCTTTAAATTCTTGTACACGATCAATCCGACACACTAGGATTCTGTTTGGTTGGTGGTAAGCTTATAACCTTAACTTTTAATTTCGACGAATCCAATACTGCTGAACCAACCAATAACATCTGTAATTCCTTGGTTGATATCATTTAAATGAGGATCAAAGTGGTGTAAATCGACTTTATAAATGTCAGCTGCAAGAAGTGGTACTAATTTTTATTTTTTTCTCAACTTTTAAGCTTACAGTAAAGCACAACACACACACACAAGTGTGGGTTTAAATGAGGGGGAACAGCAGCTGCTCCCGGCAGCATTTTCAACCAAGCACTCTCGAGTTAACTTAATTTAAACGCACAAATTTGCCCGTTTGAGCTAAAACCTTAGTGACTTAAACACTAATAACTACTTATTTTGAACGCATCAGCTGTGGTTTTCCAAATGTTTCGACTGCCTGGCTGGTTACCAGGCCACTGCCGTTGTCAATCTCACAGTTTGTGGTGTTTTGAGGCAACGCATACAGCTGGGAAAATTTCCATATTCTAATAGCACGCATTTTAGAAGCGACAGTACTGACAATCCACGTACTAACTGAATGCTTGCATGGCAGATAGCATAAAACATTCTTTTGAAGAAGAACCTGTTGAGGATCCAGTTTGTCCAGGATAAATTTTGAATACAGAGTCGGCCATGAGAAGGACATTATTGAGATTTGACTTCTCAAAATTTGTATTAAGTCCCTGTTAGATAAATTGTGGAGTCACGCAATAACCAATAAAATGTCAAGTTTTCCTTCCTTGGTGGTGCTGCGTGGACCAATCACTTAACGGTTCCATTTCTTGATTCAGTAACATCAATCGATTTGAACAGTACCGATGGTATCGAATTTCTGTAGAGTAAAATTGCCTGGCCAGCGTACTAAGACCGCGCCTTGAAATGTCTGATGACGTCATTTGTCGCACAATCCAAACGTAAGTTTCACCATTCCATTTGCAAAATTATCGGAAGTTTTCCGTACCTACTTAGTCACTTCGGGAACACGGAATCTCAAGAAACTACAGTACTCTATTTGAGAACCTTCAGAGAGTTCAGATGGGTGCTCATTTGGTGTCGTGAGGGTTAAGGCGATGAATTAGTAATAGGATGGCTTATTGTCGCAAGCAGAAGCCTGATTGGCGGGTAGGCTGCGTTTTGTGATGGCCATAGCTAGGATGGCAATTTAATTGAGGTGGCATTTAAGCTTAGGCGTCAACCATCACCGGACTTAAAAGTTGCCCCAAAGTCTACAATCTTAAATAGTGGCGTAAGTTAGCCGCTTACTGTCGACCCCAAGAGTCCAGTTTCACTTAGATTTCGACTGCTATTCATTTTCTGTCAGAAAACTTTACAAATCCTTGGATTTGACCCCCCCAAAACCTCCATATTTTCAAAATCATTGGCTATTTCACGGATTTAAACAAGCAAGCTATACCGCCCAATCGATAAAGAAACCACAGTTTTTTTATTCGCTAAAGGCGGTATTTAAAATATTCTAATATGGCTCCAGAAATTGTTGGCTTGACTCACCTACCTGCACTAATGAGCACGCGGCCTTAATTAGGGTTAAACAGATCGTCTCTGTTTCTGTTGGAAAAAAACCTTTATCTCCTTCCTCCATGTCACGTTTCCAGCCAGAAAGTGCATGTTTTAAAAGTTGACATAATTTGGCAAAAGAAGAAGCTTTAGTTAATGAAATTAGCGCCGGAAACGCTGCCATATCGACGCTGTAATAGGCAATAAAATTTTGCCCGACAAAGCGACGCATTATTGCAAGCATACCAGACCAGGAATTAAGCATCAAAAGGGGAGACTTGTCGTGGTTTAAACAAATTGCTAGTTTAGTTGTCATCAGCACAGACAGTGACGCACTATTTCGAGAAGAGGCCGCTGATTGGTCGGCTTGGTGCGCGATAACACATTGCCGTGCAAGAGTGCGAAGGTTTCAGTTATGTGAACACACCAAAACGCCTTCAATTGACGAACGTGAGGGCTGCGTTGAGAGAGCGACTTGTTTTGTCACCTTCATGATATGATCATAGGTCCGGCGCAGCTGTGCGTCGCTGTCTTCGGCCAGAAGTTTGTCGAAATCTCTGTTGTGGGCCACAGCATGTGGTCCTGAACCACGCCGGGGCCACTGAATTAACCCTGGTCCGATTACGATTGCCTGATGCCCGCGATGAAGAAGAAGACCGGAGAGGACGGAAAAAAACCGTTTACTTCAGAGCTCAACCAGAATTGGTGTCGTCGTGTCGGGTTTGCGCGTGTGTATTTATACCCTGGATACGTGAGTCATAGATGCCCTAACATCGAGATCTAGGTGTGAGGTTAATCCAAGATACATATACGTGTGAATGAAGAGGGAGTTGAGGATTTGCGTGGATGTCGCCATGCAGCGAGAAGGGGAGCCTTGTATCGATGGCGAAGCGATCGGATTGAGGAGTTGAATAAACACGATTCACAACATCTCCCAGGATGTCATTCACAGAAAGAAATGAGGTTCCGTGATGCAGTGGCGACAAGCAGCAGGACTGCGCTTGTACCAGAACACTCTTTGGTTCAGAGACGGCTGTTCTCATGCTTCCACGTGGACCGTTGCATCAAATAATTTGAGCACATTTGAAATTCAGCAAACAAACATGTTGCATGTGTTCCTATTTCCATCACACGCAGTTAAAATCAACGCATGAGAGATCTTAGCGTAGAAACGAGTAAATTTTCCATCATGCGCATCCCGAGTTCTCGTATATTCCATTTGACCAATAATTTGATCAGATGATGCACTTTTGCTCCGGTAGACTTGACTTGTTAGATTGGCTAGCATGAAAGCTTCGCTTGTAGCAAGCAGAAGACGTAAGTTTTTTAAGACTATCATCTTGGGTTGATTTAGCGAGTCATGCTAAACTGCAAAGATCACGCAACCAGGCGGATGAGTGGTGAAAAGTTGATGCCAGAGCAACACGCACAGTCCTTTCCGTACACGAGTTCTCTGTCTTCGTGACAACAACCTCGCCATAGGTCGTTTTTTTTTCAATGTACCCCTGAGATGGACCACATCGGCTCCGTTGGTCTCTCAACGCACCTGTTCCCTACAAACTACTCGTAGAACGCGCGCATCGCCGGTTTGTTTAATCAACCACTTCTCATTCGTTACCGTGGGTAGTTCAGCTAACGCCTAAACGCATTCTGACTGACGGTACCGTCATTAGTTGAATAAGTGAAAGCAATCATTGGGATGGGCATCCATCTGACAATCAATTCTTCTGTTGCTCTGGCAGTCTTTTGATTCCCAATTGGGGTCAACATACTCTGTGAATGCTAGTTGTCTGTGTTAAGGAGATTGACATTGAAAAATTCGCCGGCGTTTTAGCCACTTTTTTTCGCAATAAAGAACAAAAAGAACATAATTAGGTCAATATTTACTTCAAAAGTGGTTTTTGGCCTTATACCTTAGTACGCATGAAATGCAAATAATGATTGAGTCAGTCTTACCAAGGCTGATGAAATTGAATTCGTTGTAGATTTTGCCAGTCACCTTACCAAAACACACAAGATTACCTCCATTGGCGAAAGTCTAATGAATTTCGAATTTTGAAGGTAAATTCCACTGAGACATGGCTACAGGCGTCAAAATGCAACCTCTCAGCCGATAAAGTCATCTATCTGCGACAACCTAACCATGCTTCCTTTTTTTAAGATGTCTCGACTCGTTGTTCAAGACTTCAAGGAAAGTGACAAAGGCACCTACACGTGCAGCAGGAAGACCGATGGCGACGGCAATGCAGTGACCCCCGCCAAGGTCGACCTGGTGATGCGGCCGCGTCTTCTGGCCGATTTTGTGGCTCTGGCTCCCACGGAAACCGATGACACCGTCTCGGCCACAGTGATGACCGGTTATCGTGTCAGTGTGCCGCTTGAAGAGGGATTCGGCGGGCGTCTGGTGTGCCGAACCAACCCGGCCTTCAAGGCGCCAATCCGCGTCACTTGGTTCTACCATGGAAGGCAGCTGATTGGTCCAGCCGCCTCGATGCTGGAAGAGGAGGTGGAGTTGGTACCGAGTAACGAAAAGCCGAAGCAGGACCAGCGTGGTAATTCGGAAGGGCGGAAGAGATTTCGGCTTCAAAAGAAGTCCGGCAGGGAGTCGCAGTTGGCGAATGCGCCGAAGAAATTCGCCGATGGAATCTTTAGACCGGTGGTCGTGGATCCTGCGGAATTGGGTGTCTCTTTGGAAAACGACTCACAGGTGAGCTGTTGCACCACTTTTAAAAACGGCACTAATACGGTTGTTTTTGGTTTAAAAATGGTCCTCATTTTTAAATTGGGCACGCCAATGACATGGCGCGTGGTGTCACCCAATCACATTTATCTTCGCCAACCTTGTATTCGTTAGAACTGTGCGCGGTCGATATGAAATGGTGTGCGTGGCAGATAAAATAATTTAAAAACGCGAAATACTGCCCATCAGGCTACAAATTGAAAAAAATTGCGTTGACTGAGAACTCGCGGTTAATGTGTTTTAGGTTTAAATTTTGAAATGTGTAAAATGACATCTTGAGTTGGAAAAGAAGAACTCCTTGTCATGACAAGTGCTTATCTAGCAAAACCATCTTCCGGCCAAAATCCGTATATTTTACTCGAACGGGATGTTGATTTTGAAGCAATAAAATATGGTGATTAATTAATTTCTTCCTTCCTGTAATCGCGATTTGTACAGCCTAGTAACGACAATTCTTCAAGTGCTTTTTTCAGCGAATTGCGCGGTTTCTCACTCAATTTTGAGTTATCGTGGGGCGATAAGGAACCGCCATATCAGAATTTTAAAGGCACATGTACTACTTGGTTCCAAGAATTCATCAGAGAGGGCTTGATCGATTGGTATGCTTGTCTAGGTAGGACGTCTGATCAAATAACTTACATTTACCTGGCCTTGATGTGAACCCTTCACGTCTGTCGTCCTAACGAGGAACTGAAAGGTTATGCGACAATAGTATCCAGTCACTGGGTGACAAAATTGCCAGACCACTTCACTCCCTTGCTCTCCTATCAACAAATCCATCAAATCGAACATTCTCGAAGCACTTTTGGCATGGTCCAAGAAAATTGTCGTCATCTGAAGTTGCCAGCACCGTCGCACGTGACGACAAATTGAATGCGACCAGGGGCATTTACGCAGGTGAAAAGTGGTGCTATGGCAACGCTAATAGCATATTATGTGTCGATGTTCCATTGTGGCCGCAAATCTTTTCGCACAAACAAAAAGGGCCCGAAGTTTTCCACGCTCCAAGACAATGCGCTCTCACTGCTAAGCTAAGCCAATTGCAACAAAGGAGCCGTACCATTAATAATGAGGAGCCAAAGCCGGCTTTGGTCTTAGCTAAGTTGTCAATTCATTTTTTTCCTTTTACAGGACTTGCTTCCTTCAGACTGTACTATCGGTGTCCGTTGTATGAAATTTAAAAGAAATCTGATTGGTTAGTCTGGCTAGAGTATTGATCCACCGGTGTGAGCAGTTGTAGTGCTTTCCTTAAGTTTGATCGATCGTTTTGCAGCAGAAAATATCATACATCACGTTAAAATCTTTATTGTAATTTAACTCACTGTGCACCACCTTGTTCAAATTTAACGCTCTTACCAGTAAGGAATGCTCATAATTATCCATCGATAGTTATTAACAATGCCTATAATCGACCTCTAAACAGTTCCGTAGTTAGAATCAACGCCGATTATGTCAGGTGAATCAACACCTGTTAACTCTTCTGTCGTAGGTTCTGAAATTTTCAAAGCTTTCATCCCGCCACGCCGGGATGTACATGTGCAAAGCAGAAGCCCCAAACCCAGTCTACAGACCTCCTCTCCCACCGGATCAACTGACACGAGCGGTGTTCTCCCACATGCCGAATTTCGCTGCGCCTGGTCTCGCCGCAGCCAAGCCCTTTGATGTCGCCACCGACAGCGGCATCAACACCGAGTTCCTGGTTCAAGTCCAGCCCATCCGTCTGATTGTCTTCACTCGACCTCGAATTCTTCCAGGGAACCCGCGACTGATTGACATTAGCCCACCCACCTCGCCCTCACCACCGCCGTCGTGGTCGATGAGGGGACGGTTCGACCCTCCCTCCGCTTACGCCTCCCACCTGCGCAGTCGTCGTACCCTCGACACCCTCCACATTCCACCTTGGGCGTACGCAAACCGTCCGGTTGCCAAGGAGGGCGAAAAAATGGTTCTGGAGTGTGCCGCGAGGGGAAATCCACCTCCGAAGCTTGTCTGGTTTAAGGGCGGCGGTGGCACGAGTTTGCCCCATCCCGACAACGGCCCTCGCAAAATCGACGTGAATTTTGACGTCGCTATTCGCGAAGCCCTGAGTTACCTTCCTCTGGATGAAGCGAAAAAGTACTTGGGAACTAAGGTAGCGGAGGACGGCCAATTGTACCCGGCAATCACGGAGGCCTCGTCCGACTTCAATCTGTCCGATGTGAAGAAGATTGTGGACCTCGACGGCGCGTCGTTGGGACCGAAGGAGGTGGAGTTTTCGGGGACTCGACTAGACCGTTTCTCTGTTGTTGCAGGTCTACGAAAAGACGACACTGGAGTGCCCATTATAGCCGTGTCTAGACTCATTGTGGACAATCTGGGTGTGTCGGACGCGACGAGGTATACCTGTCTGGCTCAACTGGACATGGAACCGCTTGGGGGCCACGGAAACTGGACTGACGTTGGAAGGTTCGATAAACTTTCTTTTACCTTGAGCTCATTTCAAGGCGATAAGTAGTTGCGTCAAACTGCAAACCACGATTCGCCCAAAGTTGTAAATACAATTTTTTTTTTTAAAAAAGTAATCAGGAAAACAAAATTTTGTAGGAATGTGCATTAATTTTGCAAAAGTCTGCTCCTGCATGTACTTTATTCATTGCGTGCAATCTTGCGAAGTCAAGAAGGCACACGTTTTCGAAAACCACACACATAAATTCACTATAAGACACAGGACAATTAGATAGACTCACGAGTGACTTGGTTTTGTAAGTCGTGAGTGACCTTGGACTGAAGGGTCAAGAGGGAACAACACAGGTAGATGGGTGACCAACTGATGTGGCGTCACTAGTGCGAGTTGGGCAAAAAATGACGGATCCAAATTCTGGATGCGAAAAGGAAGTCCGACACCCAACGTATTTGCTAAAAACAGCTAGCAGAACTGACCACTTGCTATTTTCCGAGTGTCATTTCCGGTAGTGGGTTTTGCTTTGAAAACGGGGGTAACGCGGTTACACCTAAAAACTAACCACTTTCTACATAACATCTGCTTTTTCTTACTGCTGCTATGGTAACAAGTAAGGGAACTGGAGGAAGGGCTTGTGTAGGTTTGTCTGTTTCACGCCTACCTATAACCCTTTGAAAGAAAGCGACTCAGACTGGTAGAGGGTTCTTGCAAAACTTGCGAAAAAGTGTAAACAACTTCTTTTTTTGTGCCTCAGGGCTGTTTAAACATCAAATGGGCGGTAGTTATTCCGAAATTCTTTTCCATGGGTGAAAATTAAGCGTGTGTGTGTGTTAAATTGCTCATTCTTTATTGGCGAGTTGATGGTCGATGTCGTGTCCTGTCCCTCAATCAGTCTAGACGTTTATTCACGGTTTGCATTACGAAAAATACTCCTCTGGATGGACGAGAAAAGGACACGTCTATTTGCACAGGGCTGTATTGCGTTTCGTTTGGCTGGCTTGTCAATACAGTTCAACAAATAAGAACCAATCAATAGTCTGACCTTGAGCCAGCTCGCTCATTGGCAGTGAGTTCTGTTCACATTATTGATCGAAGTGCAACCTATCTAAAGCAGTACCTTCTAACTCGTGATTTTTTTTATTTGCTCAATATTTTAGAACTACTTTTGAGTATTTTGCTTTTAAAAACCCTCTCAATGTGTGTCTCGCGCAGAATCGCTGCAGTGAAAATTGGAATTATCTGGGTAAAATTTCCGCTACGCGTGCGGTCAAACAAGCACTCTGGAAATTACCTCTGCTCCACTGTGGCCGACACTTTTTTTAAAATTTTGTGATGCGGAATCCTCAGAAGTGGCATACGATTCGTTCCCTCTTCGATTATTAGGCTACGACCTCACGGAAACTTATTCCTCATTTAAGGTCAACCAACGACTCCAGATCTGTTTTAAAGTTAAGCGTTTGCATTAGATAGTGCCGCCAAATCCTGGCAAAAAAGTTTACACAATTTCAAATGACATATAATGCAGCCGCGTTGATTTGACAACTGATAATGGTTAATGTTTAACTCATGACGAGATAAGACCAGATTAGCCAATCGTGCATCCTGAGCCATATGTGATTTCCTCTAGCAGATTTATCTAATTTTTAAAAGTCGTGGATGAACTATTTGCAATTCCACTACCCCTTACAAACCCCCTGTTTCCATTGGTTAGAATAAAGGATGTCGATTTCTGTCAAATTAGAAAGCCACTTTGTCGTGAGTAGATACACATCGATCTGCCAATCACACTGAGTCATCTGAATGTCAGCTTGACCAGCCAATATGAATTTGGTTTGAGGTGGCCAATCATTGATTCCTGCGTGACATGGGATGCAATTCTAAGACTAATTATTTTAATCCAAGTTCTCATGAAGCAAGCTAATTGGCAGGAGCCAGGCGGGCGGATTTCTGAACCAGATTTTGACAAAAGTGCGCTGAATTTTATTTAATGCAAACAAAACATTTTTTGAGGTATTTGAACAGAAGTTATACTGCAAGGTTTACTAGTTTAAGAAATAGCGGTTTTTTGTAGATTAATAAAGGATACCGAGAAAACTACATTATACAACCTTCGCCTTAATTTTCTCACATCTAAACTCCGCTTTTTATTGGCCACTAGACGAGAGTCTTTCTGTAATTAGCTATTTTATCGATTACTTATTCTCACAAATTAGGACAGTTAGCAGTTATTATTCGGGTTAATTTAATTCTAAAGCAGATTGGTTCTGTTTTTGAATAAAAATGACATGCTTGCTTCAATACTTTTGCATCAGCAACGTCTGCGATAAATAAATTCATTATGTTCACTCTATCAAAACGAGCCAATGAATGTCAATCAAATGAAAGTCCCTTGCTAAATGAATGAGCGCCATCTTAAAATTAACCTCGCATTTTCATTGGTCAATGGCCTTGTGCTCAAAATTTGTCCCAGATACGTTCCTAATATTTTCTGAATGTCCACAGCTGGGATCGTGAGTTGCACTTTAAAAAAAGGATACTCTTGAGACTGCTTCAAAAAATTCCCTCTTTCATCGGAATAACATTATCACAAACACGTTTAGCCGCTGGTCGTGTTTTTGGCACAAAAATGGACACCTTTGGGAGTAGAAAAAATCTGAACTAAAGAAAGACTGACAAGGCGTGAACTGATCACCATTGGCTTGGATGCAACCTTTCAAATACTTTCATTGGTTAGCGTAATGACCAATCAATGTCGAGAAATGGCCCACTTATCGATTGTGCTATAATCATTTTTTGCCTTAATTCGACCACCGCCCGCTCTGAGAGTGGGGTGCAGCTGGATTGGTGGGGCCCACGCATTTCGTCATTGTTTCAGCGCCAGCCTTTTGAGAAGCTGCTAAAATCTTGTCCATCGAAGTCCGCTTGCTTAAAATCCACCTACTTGGTATATATATAGTACTCAACTGGTGTAAAGTGATATCTCCTCAGCCACAAAACGCCGCCTCCTCTCAACATCTCGCTTGTGCATTTAAACAAAAAACTCCTGGCTGATGACGTCACTTCGCATCAGGAACTGGGAAGCGCATAAAGTTTAGTAGGAGAGTTTTCAGTCAACTTAGAGTCATAAACAGACTTGGCCAGAACCAAAGTCCAAATTGCAAAACAGTTCAGAGCAAAGAAACGCCGCTTGGGTTTACTAGTTTGACTGGGTGTCACACTTTGCAACCGCGTTTGCAAACTTTATGCCCCCGCAAATGAAGCACATAATAGTTTCGCATCATTCCCTACTCCCAGCGGTCGAGATATTACAAAATTAGTTGCTGCTTGTTAAAATTTGTACTATTTTAAGACCCTTAATTAACTTCTTGAAGGCTGACAGTCGTTCCATCTCATACTCCCCATCTAATCAATACTATTGTAACAGATTTGAAGCAAAACTTCCTAAATTCTTTCCTAACTGTTCAGGCGCGTTTTTGTGTTGTACTTAAAGTTCCGCATTTCCCAATAATTTTAGTGTCGTTTTGAAAAAAAACTGAGTAGTTTTCTTACAAAGTGCTTCGTTGATTGCAGCACAGAAGAACGACCAAATTGACGGTTGCAAGCATAGACTCAAGCCATTTTGATCCGCCATTTTGTCATGGTGGCTCAGTGTACTTCGGTGTTGTAGAATTTCTTGCGGGACATGCTTTGGCTGATGGCTTTAATTGTCAGTTTTCCACTCAGCTATGAATCTTAAAAATGATTATCACATTTAAAATCGGTCAAATGGTCTGAGTACTTTGTTTGAGTCCAAGAAATTTCAGAAGCGATTTCCAAGTTCGGAAGCTTAGGTCGTTGCGAGGCGGGGAGTGACTATTCTGGTTCAGGGAGACGTGTACGACTATCCACGTCGACGGCACTTTGACCTCCCTTTCAGCATGCTCCCGGCGATCATCCTGCTGCCGAAATTCGTCGCGGCTGGAACCAAACTCTACGCGACCGGCAACCCTGGCGAGAACGCGACGCTGACCTGCGAAGCTCTCGGTGGTTTATCGACCCCGGGGGGACTCCAACTCACCCTTCTACGAGGGTCCGGTCTGAAGGAGCTCGCAGACCAGATCATCACCGCCAAGGGCACCCTCCAGCACTCGACACTGTCAGACGTCGCGACGCTGGAATCGCGGCCGTTTTTGGGTTCAGGCGACCGCGAGAAGGTGCCGTTCGATGAGAGGATCGAGACAATCCGACCAGACATGGATCCGAGGTACCATCTTATGTCCGGACCAGATCCGCGGAACCCCTACGCAGCGATGGTTCGACTGACCATTACCAGTAAGCGTGATTGATTGCAAATAAGGTGCGCGGGAATAGCAGAGGTCATCTTATGTGAATCAGGTTAATTAAATATCGAGCCAAACTCCAGTCTCTGGCAGATGAATGATGGCAAAATGGTAGCCGAAAGGCTGCAACACCTGATTTAAACAAATTTGAATGGTTTCGTTCACAAGAACGCCAACATTTGCCTCCCAAATTTGCAAATTAGTACAAAACTTCGATTTTTATAATGAATACAGCCTCAGCACATTAGCTTTCACACAGGCAGTGCACTTGTTTATAATATGGTGGCTACAAATCTAGTGCGGAATTTAAAAATGTGGCTTTCTGTACACCTTAAAATCACCCAAATTCGGCCACTGCACGACAGGTAAACTTTTTTGGCCTTCCAACCTTCCTAGAGCTTAAAATTTTTTTCGTTGACACGCTTTTTTACGACGTAAACAAATGCCCAGAGCCGAGACGAAAAAACACACATTTCCGTGTTTTTTTTTGCCTTGCTGCTCACGATTTCTGTCGGGGTGAATTAAAAATGAATAGCCCTGTTTGGAAGTCTTCCACGGGATTTTTTTCTGGGTGGTTTGAACTGACTCTACTGCTGATTTGCTATTCGTAAAAGTGCACGAATAGCAACTTTTGGTAGTGTCGATAACCTCACTAGATTTGTGCTGATTGGTGAATGAATGCAACCAACTCCTTTCACTCAGAAACCGCAAACAAGGTGGATTTTGGACTCACAACCGTCTATTTAGCCCCTGGGCATGATGTAAAGTTGTGTGGGTGTGAGCGGATAGGCAAACAGAGCGGCTGTGTGAACATTAACCAATAAAAATTAGACGTAAGCATGCAGGCACTAAAAAATAACGGTTCTACTCAAACTCTTCTCCCGGAGATAGTTTATTAGACGGTTAACACGCGAATGCCACAGTGACGACCGTGCATCTTTAGACTTTCCCGGCCGTGACTCCATTCTAAAACGATGTGTTTAAGTCCTGCAGTCCTATTGGAAGTTAAAGTAGATATTTTTCATGGAATAAGCCTCCAAGATCAGAGGAAATAAGTTCACGAAACATTCGAAATCGTCCTCACAATGCAAAACCTCCAGGAGAACGGACAAGTACAAATAGAAAGTAAGATTAAACGTTAAACAAGTAAACAAATTAAAAAAGGCAAATCAGCAGTCAAGAAGCAGCCTGAATTAGCAGAATGCTGACTCAGCCAAATATCGATTTTTCTATTGATTGCTCCTTCTACTCTCACCAATCAAACCATCATCGCGTTTGGTAGTCTACGAACCCACATGCATTTGTGGGTGCGCGTTTGTTACTGATGACTTCAGTTAACTCAAAGTCAACGCGTTCAATTACACCGCATCACTGACACTCAACCACAATCCAGAGTTTAAAAAGGGTTCATCGAATGTTCGTTCAATGTACTAGCACAAATTTCGTGAATGTGGCACAAGGCGACATTGCCCATTCTCTGCTAACGCAGCACCAGTGAGTCAATCCGTTAGCGCATGATTCCACGCACACACACACACCCACACACACACCCACAGATCCCACCATCCTGCTCCCACTTCCCATTCTCCTCAACTCACACGCACTCGCTCCCAAAGTTGACACATCCACTCAGTGCCTAAAAGGCTACCCTCTCCCCAACATTATGCATACCAGTGGCTCGTATCCATGACATCTCAATCGACGAAGGACATCACTCTACAATGTGAAACCAGGTAAGATACGTCGAGTGGGGATGCAGTAAAGATTGACTGCCACCTAATTGCATGCAGGTGCGTCGTGATTGGCTTGCGAGCAGAGCCAATGACGGTGGAGGGCGTGCGAAGTGCCATTGCATTGGACAATTTTGAATGCAAGCCTAATTCACCAGGTTCGACTCGACGCACCCTGAACAACAGGGCTGAAAATCGGATCGATCGTGTGCACCATTCACATTGGACAGTTATTACAGCTCACATTCCTCAAATTCTCGTGAGGTTGCACACGTCCGGCATCGTCCGAGTTCATTTTTTGGAATTCCTTGTTAGTTTTGATGGTACTTGATAGAAATTACCCTGCTTTAACCAATGAGAGCATTTTGTGGTGGTGCGTGAATCGACGGACTGGTTCGTAAAGTTGGCAAAAGATGCAAATCATGCGAGGGACGGTGCTTGTAGGCACCATATAAGTGTGATCCTCCATGAAATTATCTAGTCGAAAATACCTCTTCACCAACGTCAAGTGCTTCACAAGCCATCCCTGATATATGCTCACTTCCACAAAACCTTTCATCGTCGTGTTTAATTGCGATATGAGGAGAATATCACAGCCGGCGAAAGTAACATTTCACTGTCCAGTCACTGATGCCTTCGAGCAACCATCAATATTGTACGGGTTTGTGCGATCGCAGCGTGATTGACAGGTCAAGTGTCGGGAAGAACACACGATGGAAGGAAGAAACCAAGATTACTTGAGTTTGTCTTTAGAATTTGGCAAAAAATCTCTAGACTGTGTGCAGCGAGAACCCACAAATGTGATCTGACTTCCACATTTAACTCAAGTGTAATTGTTTTCAAGAATCAGCTTTCAACCAACGCACACTTTTCGCACAAAAATATCTACTTTCAAAACATTGAAATTTTATTGGGGTTTTTTTATGGCCATAAAGTGACAGTCAACTTGAGTCAATGGTAAATATTTTCGTGAAGAGCCAACAGTCTGAGGTTTTTGATTTGCAGACTCAATTGCACTAGTGGTCACTGTCACTGTCGCGATGTCTGATTTCGTCGTCACAATTCTGCATCGGTGATTGTCAACCCTTCCAGTTACTACTTCAACAACAACAACATCAACAAAAACAACGACGACGACGACGACGACGATAGGGCTGGTATTTACCAACTTGTTGCAATCCAGACACAACACCTCACCGGCCAGATATGTTTTCGCAAATAAGAGATGAGGCAGTGGACGCAAAACAATGAAAAGCCTGTTACTTTTCTAAGCAAAACGCATGATCTCGGTTTACCAGTAGCATCACCAGGCAAAAACGCGTCAGCATTCCTGGATTTTGAGTGGCTGTTTTAGACAAGCTGATTGGTTTCACCTGACTTGAGATTATTTACAGCAATCAACAGGATCCACGTAGATATCGCGGTCACCGATGAACCTCCTTCAAATTCGTCTTATTGATCAGGATGCTCTACACTGACCACATGACGACTTCGCAATAATCAGGTGTGGTCTTGTTGACTGTGTCAGATCAAGTTACTCACTCCAGAGGACGATTTTTCGAGAGAACAGAAGCTGAGATTCGGCAGTGGAACGATTCACTCACTGAATCACGCACTGTCCTTAAGCGAAACTTGCTCACACGTCGCTGTTGTGCACTGTTACGTCAGCGAAGATTTACGCCATCAGGAGCTTTTCCCAACAGGTGCATTCAAAGACGGTCAGCACTTATGCGTCGTCACACATGAATTTAGTTGATTCCCGAACACACACACACACACCCACTGCACTCTGCCACTCTACAAACCTGCCACCACGTTTTCGCCCAATGAAGCATCGCGCCTTGTGGTCGAGTAGATGGTTGTACATTCCTTGTCTAGTCGCCTTTTTGACAAATTTTGTGTTCGTGGGTTCTGTTATCTGCTCGGTAGACTACTAACCGTCGCAATCAGTAGCCCAGGCGTGATGCTGTCGGCATTTATTCACTAGGATCGCGAACCAGGTTCATTTTCGTGATCATCTATTAGACAGTCACTCCATACAATGTCCAACAACGACCTATCAGACACTTTGCCATCGCCCTGTTAAGGAATAACGTTGTTACTTCATATGATAGACGATAACACATCGTCATGCCTTTTAGCCTCCTCTGTTTTCAAATACACGAAGAATGGAAATTGGGGCGTAGTGGTACTTCTAAGGTATTTTTGCCTGGTTGTAGACTTGCTCCCCGAAGACAATAACTACTACGTTTGCAAAGCGCAAAGCGGTGAAAACTGGATCTCCTACGCACCATCGCTGGAAGACTCGCTCGGTCGACTGTCGGTGTGGTTCGCCCCACCGAGAGCTGGTGCCCCTTCAAGGGACGGCGACGGAAGTGAAGGAGGAGGGGGAGGAGGAGACGGCGGCGGTGGCGGCGGCGGCGATCGGGATGGTGGCGGTGGAGGTGATGTGATGTACGGTCTGGCGCACAAACCATCTCGACTCGAGTGTCGATCGCTGGGACAACCGCCTCCGCACTGGACTTGGACGGGACCGGCCATTCGCAAGCCAATTGTGCCTGTTTCTCCTGGCGAATCTGTGGAGGCTGACGGGTATTTTGATGATGATGATAATGATGATGACCTTGTAAGATTGGTTAAACTGACATCAAAGCGTAGAAGCCCCGCACTGGGCATCTCAATTGTTAACTGACTGACAAGCACGGCTGACGTGAGTTGCTACTATTGAGTACTGTGGGTCAGTTATCACAAGCGCAGTTTGTCAAAAACGATCATTCAGATGATTATCGCACCATCCACTACTTCTGCATGCAAATGCGAGTTTCACTATCACTACTACATACTACTGTTTCCATGAATAGGCTATCAGCGATTCAATTTTCTACCAAACTTATCCTAGGATATGACCTGTCCTTAAAGATGACCGCTTCAGGAGACTCTAGATTGGACAAAATTCTAATTTTTTAATAAGGTACACTGCCGCAAATATAAATCATTTAATTCCATCAATAATGCTATGACACTTTAGAATGAATAGCCTAATCCCATTGGTTGCTACCTTAATCGATTAGATGGCTGGTTCGTCAAAGAAATATGATTGGCAAACGAAAACAGTAATTATGGAAACTAGGCAAGCATAGATTAATAATCCTGACAAATAAGAATGTTCGAAGTGGTCAGGAACTTGTGAATAAAGTATAAACTTAATTTAAATAAATATGAACAACTTTTGTCCGTCAAAAATGCTCCTACATTTCGATCTATTTGTGTCGCTTTTTTTGGAACGATGGAATAGAAATTTCCGATTACCAGAGGAGTTAAGGCTATATGGAAGCGAAATTCGGTTAATTTTAAATTGCCATCGTAAATTCAAACTCGTGTGAGATAATTCAACCATTTTCTTATAATTACAAAACTGCAATGGGAACTGTTGAAGTCGGCGTAGAGGCTATTTGGATGTCCCAAAAATTTTCTAACGTTCTTAAAGTTTTCTTGTCTATAGTATCGATTTCATTTCTGATACCTTTTTTAAACCAAATTCCGTTAACCTGGATTGTATTGTTTCAGAATTAAAATCAATAAAACGCGCCAAGATGAATGAGCCAATAGGATCGTGAGCAGTCAATAAGAATTTGAGAAAAATTGTGTATACCTGCAAGAAACATTGAAACAAAAAATACACATATGATAATGGTGCAACAAGTGGAAAATTTTGTAGGATTTTGACTTCCCAAGCAGCTTGACAGTCTTACATGGAAAATTCAAACAAAGACCATGCTATTCAGGCACTTTTTCGACATCATTTCTTGCGTAACCAATCCAAAACCAGGCGTTCAGCCTTGCAATCATTAATATCCGTTCCGTTTACATAAACTAATTCTAGAAGGCTTGAATATACTTTCGTTAGGTTGTGTTCGAGGCGGGACAGATTCGTTGGGGAAAAAATTAGCGAACCGACAGGGCCTAATCAGAACGCAAGTGTTCTCATTTTTGTCTCCTACTTGCTGCAACCTTTTGGGAGTAAAGGGAATTAAATTTTCGAAAGCTAGAAGAAGAAAATTGAATTTTTGCTCAGAGGTACATTCCAATGACGCCTGACGATGTGACTTAGGTGTGTTATTCTCAAGAACTAATATAACACGTCTGCTCACATTGAGGTCTGAGGAGATACGGTGACTACCGGAGCAAATTTCGTCTCTGTTCCTCAGTTTGCTTCGTGGAAAACGCGGAATTGCGCTTCATCGATCAATTCCGTAGAATCAGGACTCCTAGTTTTGTCAGTATCTGTCGGTCGACATGTGGTCTGGCGTTACCGTGGTGAATAATAATGCCCTTTCGTTTACACCACGACAATAAGAAGATCACACGTGGCAGACAACCGTTTTCCACACTAGGTGCGTCTAAGTGAATAAGACTTGTCCATCAAAACAGTCTGGATGAGTCTGTAGAGTACAAATTGCTCAACGGTTAGAGGGGTAAAACGAGTAGCGTGGGAGAGGTGCAAGCACAGGAGTTTATGGGCATGCAGTTTCCCAAAACCGATCGATACGCTGTAAAAGGGAGGTCAATGAGGTGGACAATGCGACAACCGAATTGAGGGACGTGGATCAGCAAGAATCACAGCAGATGATTACTCAGAGAACTTCACTCTGGTGTCATACACAAACCAAAATTGCTGAACCATGAAAGATTCGTTTTGTTCACAAGCACGAAGCAATGTTCATTTAAGTCTACATATGCGGGCCACGTTAACTGGTGATGTGCGGTCGAGTTATCGACATTCTGTCTCTGAAATCTTTTTAGTACTAAGCCGTGATTTACTATTCAGTAAATCACAGATGAAGTCGCTTTCAGAGACAGAGTGACACCATTTCGAAGTCGACTGAACCACTTCGCTACTGCCCTAAGAGCTGAAGCACGATTTAAACAAACTCCTTGAACCGGCTTGGTAACATTTTATAAACAATAGCGGCTTTTTCAAGCAATGTAATTGGCCAATGACGTGACTTTGTTTAACCGTCTAGACTTCACGCAAATCAACAAAAACGTTTGGTGGAATTGCTTCAGAGAAGACGTTTGTTGGAAATTTTCTCAGCAAATACGCTATTATCTAACAGCCCTATATCTGTTTGCTTAAACGGAGATGGTTGTGCGACTTTTATGGGTTTATCGCGCAGAGACATTAATCATAAAATACGAGATTGTCGTTAGCAAGGTATGGTGAAATAACTACCCCCATTAGGGGAATTCGGATGCTTGGACAATTCCAACATTCAAAATTTTGTCGAAATTATTTTAAACAATTTTTTTAATTTAAGAAACACGCCAATTGCATCAACACAGTCGAACTTGAATAAATTGATTATAAGTGACCTTCTGTTACAGCTGATAGGTTTTTAGTTGAAAGGACCTTGATGTAACCAATAGGGACTAATCACGTTTTAACTTGTTATTGGAGTGAATTTTCCAATCTACAATTTTTTGATCCCTTCAGAATCATGCAAAAACACTCAATGCTCCACGTTTAACGGGCGCCATGAATTGATCAACAACAGTGAAACCATCGTCACTGCATTTCTTTTCCAAAAAATGTTTTAATTTTAAATCGCTTTGCAAAAAAATTGTCACTAATTGTCAATTTGCCTTTAGAAAATCGCTACAAAACTCACCCGTGCTGTTTACTAGGTAAAATTTAGATGATAGGTGCACGTGTCTAGCCTGATGCTATCTACTTTTGGTACAATCATTCGGAACAAAGTCAACGTAAAAGCTGAGGTGGTTTGTCAGTGCAAAATGAGGCGGTAGTTGATGTCGCGCGCAGAAAAAAACCGCGATAACACGTTACTAGCACTAAAGACTGCGTCGGCGTGACATTTTGCACAAGTTACGGCTTGTGCATTGCCTTCTGCCTGTCCGGGCGACCACTTCGGGACCCGAACCCATAGTCACTAGTGTGTCCGGGCAATGGGCAAGAAGGGTGTGTGGTTGATGGCCTAAATCTGGTTTTTCGCTTCTTCTTCTTCTTCTTCCAGCTACACCGTGCGTGTCTACCAGGAGGGTGAGGAGTCGGTGAGTGAGCTGATTCTTCCAGCGGCGTACTGGAGCTTCGGCATTTTCGGCAGCTACTCGTGCACGTCGGAAAACCGACTTGGCAAGGCCACCGGCTACGTTCGGCTCAAACTCGCCACGCACCCTCAGCGTCCCAATGTCACCGCGTGCACGGTAATTGCTGCTTGTTTGTCTGTGCCCATACTACTAACCACGATTTCAGCGACCCAATTTAGTTCTCTGCTCTCGAATCGAGGAGAAATGACAGACACGATGACACAATTAGGTCGGGGTGTGGATTTAAGGGAAAACCATTTAAGCCTTAAATTAAAAACCAAAAATGACTGCCTATTGACGAGGTGACCCCTTCGAGTCACGCATTTTGGATTGACCGCGCTTCAACGAGGTGTGAAATGCAACCAATGAGAAGTCGCAAAGTGCCCTTGTGAGTAGCACGTTGAGTGCTTCCGTTAGAAGATTTTATCAACGTGAGTCGACTTTTATTACCAAATCCACACTCGTAAAATCTACGAGAGAACAAAAAAGCTTTGCGTCTTCTTAGAAAGTAAAATTATTTAACCGAGAAAGGCATGTCAAGAATGCGGGCATTCCTCAAAAAGCAATAGAATTTTACCTGGCATATCCGAATAATCATGCATATCTTAATCGAATTTAAAAATTAAATTAAATCTACAGCATTTGAGTGACTTTTGGTATCAACAAATTGTGTGTTTTTTTCCAACTTTTGACCTGTCAATTACACTGAGAGTGGACAAAATCGTGCAAGATCGAAAGGCATTTTAAACCACCACCGATTGGTCAACAAACGACTACATCCTGGAAGTTGTTAAAAATTATTTCGATTATAACCTGTTGCCTCGGTGAGAATAATGTTCGTCAAGCACGATGACCAACAACACCTCAAAAATAGCAGATGATCACGAAAATGAAGTTGGTTCGCGATCCTAGTCAATAAATGCCGACAGCATCACGTCTGGGCTACTGATTGCGACGGTTAGTAGTCTACCGAGCAGACCACCGCCACCATCCCGATCGCCGCCGCCGCCACCGCCGCCGTCTCCTCCTCCCCCTCCTCCTTCACTTCCGTCGCCGTC